CATATTTTTGTTAAAGTCAATCCTATTTATTATAGTATTAGTATTATATTATATAGTATTAGTATTGTATTATATAGTATTAGTATAGTATTAGTATTGTATATATAGTATTGTTTATTACTTTAGTTTGCTCATAGTATGTAGTCATGTTTTTGTATATTTTCTGTCCGCAATGGAAAGCTGGTAACCTGTTACCACATGACGTTTATCATCTTATTATAGGCACCAGCCTCTCACAAAGATGGTAATACCTGCAGCAAACCCGTAATATTGCCAAGAGGTATTTAAAATAAAATGTATTAATTTAAATCACATTGTATTAAGTTAGCGCTCAGAAATTATCATCTGCAGCAATTTGCATAGGAATAACTTCTGCACACTATCTGGGGCGGATGCTCGAACTAACACAATTATGAGACTTCCTCTAGAATTAAATGGAGTTGGCTAAAGTGTTAGTTATCGGTTTTAAATCTTTTCTAAGATGAAAAATAATTGAAAAGTTTCACGTCAGATGAAAAGCTAAGAATTAAAATTCTTTAAAATTATCGAATTCTGTTCTGTGTGACTTTTAAACTGTTATTTATGTTTGAAAATTGTCGGTTTGGTGTTGTAATTTATCCTTTTTCAATAGAAAGTTCCAACCGTACGAAGCTAGGACTGATCGCTAGTGGGAAATAAGTATGTACATAAATATTAATCCAATAATTACGAGATATCTGTTCCTTGCTTGCGGGAATAAAGCCATGATTTGTGATAAAGTGCCAAGTAAAACAAATGATTGTTGAAATCTATAAAGCTTAATTGAGCGATAAAAGCTGACAGCTACTTAAAATGTCAGTACTATAATGAAGCTTTTTGATTTATTTTCGGGTGATATTTAATCTTGGTAATAATGACCCGTATCTGGGCACATTTCTGCATATGTTTTATTTTGTTTACGGTAAGTCTTCTGTGACCATTTGGCTGAGAATTGAATTCAACATCGCTATACTTTCGTTAACCTTTAGTACCAAGTATTAATCTTTCTTCGACGGTTACTTTAATGACAAGCATTCTTGGGGACATGAAATGTCTAACAACGATCTATATTTACTAGCATTTTCCTTAGTTCTCGTGACTATATCAAATCAAATCAAATCAAAATACGTTTATTCAATTTAGATGCTTCTTAGAGCATGCTTATGAATGTCAACAACGTTTACAAAATTCACGAAAGAGCAAGACTACGCCATCCGTTTGCAAAACTACCAGGAGGCCTTGTTCTGAGAAGAACGGGCAAGAAACTCAGCAAGTTTTACCCTCCCTCTACATTACAATTATTCAAAAGAAAATGTCATAAACCACGTCATTAACAAATCAAGGTATAATTAATGAGTATAGATAGATATCGTCAACAATATTGCCCGATCTCAAATCAAAGGCGTACAGACGTACGAGAAGAACTTGCAACTCTTTTGATTGCCGAGTATTTTAACCGACAGAAAGTCTATTCAACATAAAGTCAAAACTATTTCCATAATTAAAAATAATAAAAAAAAGTCTATTCAATAGATTGATGATTAGTGATTTTTTGTCGATCAAAGCGTGAAGACTGTAATGCACATTGATTTTAACACCAACTTTAAAAAAATAGACCTATAAATAAACTAACGTTTCATACCTTTATACAACGAGGCTAATCGATACAAAAAATATTGTTATTTACAACTTTTTGAAGCGTTTTTTATAATTAAAATGAATTTATGTTGATGCTTACAAGGAGGCTTTTCTCTGCATCACATAGAAATTATGATTGAATAAAATAGGACGCATAAACACATCATCAATCAAAATACGTTTATTCAGTTTAGATGCGTCTTAGGGCATACTTATGAATGTCAAAAACGTTTACAAAATCGAACGGGCAAGAAACTCAGCAAGTTTTACCCTCCCTCTACATTACAATTATTCAAAGGAAAATGTCATAAACCACAACGTCAAAAAAATTAAAAAAAAAAAGTGCACACTTGAAACTATCATCACATACACCAATACAATATGTTTATTCAGTAAACTAGGTACTCTGTCGCGCAGTTTCAAAAGAATAAAGGTTGTTAAAATCCAAAACAGGCTATACCAAAGCAATTACTGTTACATTTGGATTTACGCGATGCGTAAATTTTTCGACGCTGATCCCAAAATTACTTCCTTGCAGGCTTGTAAAGAAAGCATTTTATTATTTCCGTTTTATCTCCGCACATTCTAGTTTAATATCGTTACTGGAGTAGTAAACTGTTCAATGTCGTTACGTTTATGGTGTTAGAACCAGTTGATAACAGCTTCGCCTCACGTATTGTTTAATCTAATGGAAACTAATATAAACCCAATGTCAAGTTTTAAGGCTTTTTGCTCTTAAACGCGTTTGGTTGTGTTTGTTTTACTGTGTTGTTTACGTTTTGGCCTAGACATGTTTGATTTTGAACGGGTCCGCGAGTTGTAAGACTTGGTACGCTCTTTTTTTGAAGGACTCTTATTGATTATTACTTTATATAAAATTCTCGTGTCTGTTTGTTCCCATACTCCCCCGAAACGGCTCGACAGATTCTTATGAATTTTTTATTGCATGTTCAGTAAGTCTGAGAATCGGCTAATATCTATCTTTCAAACCTCTAAGTGATAAGGGGTGTCCAACCGAAATTTTTATTTTTATTTTTTAGAAATTTTATTTTTATTTTTTTTATTTTTAGATACAGCATACAAAAATACATACAACCCTTAATTTTCATCTACCCTCTACAATCAACCCCTTTTTTTGTTAGAAGTTATAACTTGAACTCATTAAAGGGTTATATAGAGAAAAATCACGGAAAAACCTTTCAGTCCGGAAAACCGAACAGTCTCTGGGGTGGCATAGCAAAATGTTCCATGTTGGTATGTGCTACAAAGGTAGCCTACCTTGGCATTAAGGAGAAACGAAGCAGCAACGGGAGCAGCTAGTTACTTTATTCCGACCCATTGGTGCCGAAGATATAGTGAGGATATTTAGAACCATAGATATTAAGAACACTACCGATTTTTGGGGTATTTCTGTAAAAATAATTAGTAGCATAATTGATGTAATTGCTCCCCATCTAGCTATAATTTTCAAGAATTGTATTAAAAGTGGCGAGTTTCCCGATCTAATGAAACAAAGTAAAGTTATTCCATTATTTAAAGCAGCTAGTATGTCCGACCCCAGTAACTTTAGACCAATTTCCGTACTACCTACTTGTAGTAAAATATTTGAAAAAAATATTTTAAATCAACTGGTAAGTCATTTTAACGTAAACAAATTATTACATAATAATCAGTTCGGTTTTACCAAGGGTCGCTCGACCGACAGCCGATGCCGGTGTTGAGTTATATAGATATATAGTTAAGGCTTGGGAGGAGTCGCATGACGCTTTAGGTGTTTTCTGCGACTTATCCAAAGCATTTGATTGTGTCCAACACGAGACCTTAATCGGGAAACTCCGCCACTATGGCATCAAGAATCCCGCACTGAATCTTCTGACTTCCTATTTACACGGAAGAACTCAGAAGGTTGAAGTGAATGGTAAGAGGTCCTCTGGTTCGGCAGTAGATATGGGGGTACCACAGGGCTCAATTCTTGGCCCTTTCCTCTTTCTTGTTTATATAAATGATCTACCTTTCATGGTAGAGAGAAAACATCAGATAGTTTTGTTTGCTGATGACACGTCCTTGATTTTTAAAATCAAACGACAAATAACAAATTTTGACGATGTGAACAATGCTCTGTCTTCGATTGTCCATTGGTTTAGTATGAATAACCTTCTACTTAATGCAAAAAAGACAAAATGCATTAAATTTTGTGCAAAAAATGCAAGGGTTATGGATACTAGACCAATTATAAACGGTGAGGAATTGAATCTGGATGATACAACTGTATTTCTCGGAATCACCATGGATTCAAAACTTCAGTGGTCCCCTCATATTAACGGATTGGCGAAGAGACTTAGTTCTGCAGCCTACGCGATTAAAAAAATTCGTTCACTAACTGATGTCGATACAGCTAGACTTGTCTATTTTAGTTACTTTCATAGCTTAATGACTTATGGCTTATTATTATGGGGTCATGCTGCTGATGTTGAAACTATTTTCATCCTGCAGAAGAGGGCTATTCGTGCAATCTATAATTTAAAATGTAGGGAATCTCTTAGAGATAAATTCAAGGAAATTAATATACTTACCTTTCCCTCGCAATATATTTATGAAAATATTATGTATGTATACAAAAATAGTGATAAGTTTACTAGAATAGAACATACGCACAATGTTAATACACGGAACAAACGCAGGCTGCAATTTCCCCGTACTAGACTATCTAAAGTTAGTAATTCTTTTTTGGGGAAAGGGATACTCTTTAATAAAATCCCAGAGGCTTTTTTATCCCTGCTTTCAATAAATTTAAGAAATGTATTAAAGAAAAGCTGTGTAAAAAGGGCTTACTATAAAGTCAACGATTATCTAGTTGATAAAAGAGCCTGGGACTAGTGCTAGACAGGCTACTTCTAATTAATTTGCGATATTTGTTTTAAATAAGTGTTGTTTGATGATTTGCTGTTTTAAAAGAGTACCGAGAGTTTTTTACGCCGGCTTTTTCTCTCGGCCTACACCCTCTGTCTTCTTTGCCGATGAGTAGGGATGCCTAAAAGTTCAAATTTAATGACGTGGAATAAGTGATACATGTATCTTATGTTCCATAATAAACATATTTTATTTTTAATTTTTTTATTTTATAAGTATTGATTCGACAATGGAGCGCGGCAAAATCCCTTAAAACACTCAGTTGTAGAACAACGGTGGGTAATATGTCGTAGTAAATGTCGTATAAATGCAATTTGCACAAGAACTGTGTGGAATAATGCTTTATTTATTCATGTTGCAACACAAGAGATAACTGTGTTTACTCCGAGGACATTTCAGTAATTTGTCATAGTGTTTGAGTATGAGCAACTTACCTAAGACAATCCAAATGACAAGAGTATTTCCCAGTACAGCAAGCAGCAACATAACAGCGAAGACGACAAACCAAGCAAGCTGGCCCCACCATGGGGGGACATAGGGCCTCTTGCCCATACCCATACAGTTGCTCAGGGTTACTCTGAAAATAAATTATTGAATTAATAAAACATAAACAGTGACTCAGATAATAAAATATAGACTATTATATGTCTTATGAAAACGTACAATACTTTGGATTTAACAATTTATTTGTTTTTTCTTTATCTAAGTACACAGCCAAATCATTTATCATCTACATATAACAAAACAATGTTTTTTACTTAATTAAGTTCATAAGGCCCAACATAGACAAAAAGAACGCACTAATTCTTTAAAAACCGTCAACACTTGCGAACCCTGGTGCATGAGTGTCTATGGGCTTATATATCACTTAAAATCAGATAAGTCTCCTGACCGTTTGGCCTACTTAATAAAAAAAAACATTACTACCGACTTTGTTTGACTATGCTCTTGAAGCTCAGATTATTTGCTGCTAAGTTCATTTGTTTTGGGTGTCAAAGAAAAAACAAAAGCAGTTTCTTTAGTCAATAATATTTCAATTTTAATCAACTGTTGCACCTACTCTAGCTCCAATATACGTCATGGGTTTTTTTAATTGTTAAGTATGAGATTGGGTAATATAGCTATTAATAACCAGGTATTAAAACATTGTATCCTATAGGATTTCTATAGAAAACTCGCGTTTTAATGACTTTCAGCGGTTTCATAATCCCCTTTACATACATATTAATTAGCCCAATTTTCCAATCCATAGTGTATTTAACAAACAAATCAAATAGTTCGTGCATAATTCTAAGATGACGAAGACGAAAGATTTTGTATATTTGTAAATAAACTCAAAAACTTTTTCCGCGAGTAACAAAGGTTTTATTTAAACATATAAAGCTAGGACAGGTCGCTAGTATATTAATAAAATAATATATCAATGAATTGCTATTCGTTTGTCTCGAGAATGGCTGTACCGATTTAGATAATCTTGAAATATGTGGAAGTTCAGTGATGGTTGAAACGGTAGGAAACGTAAAGAAAAATATTAAAACCAACTATTGAAGATTCCAATAAAAACTGTTATATATAACCTGGGGCTGGAGGCTCATCTGATGATAAATGATACCGCCACCCATTGACACTCAATTCCAGAGGGCTCGCGAGTGCGTTGCCGGCCTTTTAAGAATTTGTATGCTCTATTCTTGAAGGACCCAAGTCGAATTGGTTCGGAAATAGTTGCGAAGGATATGCGAAAGGATGGCGAAAATGGTTTAGTGGGTAGCTGGTTGCACAAAGTGGTAGTGCGCGGCAAAAACTGCCGCGAAACGCTTAGTTGTGGAATGACGGACGGAACTAGTTGGGAAATAGTTGATGACATTTTAGAAAAAAAATTGTAACTTGGTTGTCTAATTATAGATGCCTTCAGAAATGAGTGTTTCATAGCTGTCCGATATCATTGGTCTTTTTAAAAAAAATTAGATTGTAGTAGATTATATTGTAGACAATATAATTAATAACTTCGTACCAATTTAAGTACCGCTGCAATGTTTGAACGCTTTAATTTATTCGAAGCATTTGTCACATAGCCCGAAAAGTATCTTTTAACATAAACAAACAAAGAACATTAATTAGGAACATCCTTCCTTTAAAAGGAGCAGTTGGCGGACCCTTTTTAACAATTTGTTCGTGGTCGTCCATCTTTTAGCAAACACGACCGGAAATACATAAAGTTAGGAACCTCCATAGATCTTTAAAGCTAATTTCAAAACCCCATGCTTTATAACACATTTAATATTTTTTAAAGAATCTAAACGCGAAATTATTATTTTTTGCCGCTTCGGTGTTACCGTGACTGATCGTTTTAGTTAATGATAAAGAAATTGTATTTTAACCCACGAATTCTACTTAAAAATTACACCTTTACTATATTAATATTAAAACTTTATTTGTATTTTTGTTTGTTTGTAACGAATAAACTTAAAAAATTCACCGATTCCAAAAAAACAGCTGATTTTAATTTTTTAGTTATTTATATTATAAAGCCGTAGGAAGCTGGATCATGTCGCTGGTAGGTACTGAAATAATATTTCAAATATTTTCAATTTTATGTACCTATATAATGGCTTAGATACTAAATCATATAAGAAAGTGCACTGCCTGTGATATTATTATACTTCCTGGCTTATATTAGGTCGTTTCACCCAGATTCCAACACAAAGGTAAGATTTTTCCTGTTATTAATTGACCTATCCAATTTCTTTACAGCAAATTTACTAATAGAGAGTTTAGTAATTAATGCGGAATTCAATATCCCAGGTTCAAGTTTTAGTAAAATAATTGTTCAAACGGAAGCATGCAAAAAATTGAAAGTGAATCAGAATAAGCCACGCCCTTTTGTTACTGAATTTTGTATTACTCACATTTGAAATTCTAGTATAAGAGAAACGCGGTATGAAACCAGATAACATCACAATTCCAAACTAATTTAAATACATCAAAATAAAAATATTACAAATATTTAAAGAAATAAGCAGATCTAATGTTGTTCTGTACAAACGTCTTAAAAACAAAAAAACTTATTTTTATTCCAAACCATTCTTGAATAAATAGATTTCACTTGAACATTAATGACCAACTGCTGACACGGCATATATTTTACATCCCGCACTTATTTCTATATTACATATAGATGTACATAGGTATTAGAGTACATCTGTACAAACTATGAATGTTATATTGTGAGAACGGTTTCATTCATTGAATAGCGATTCAACTTATTTCCACTTTAAAAGTCTAGACTTCCGTCTAGAAGCCAATTTTCAACCAGCGGCACAAACGATTTTAGGGTTGGAATTGATTTGAGGCTTACAGCGTTTCATTGCGAGATAGAATACGTAATATTATCTAATGGCATATTACTGCGGAGTGAAACAAAATAATAATCGTTTTTTTTTCAAATTAGCTTCTGTGCATGTCATGCTGGTTTACCTACTATTATTAAATGTTAGAAACTATCGATGCACAGACGGCGTTTGAACGCAGAACTTCAGGGTTTAAAGTTGCATGGTTAAGCAGCCAGACTCGTTCTTGTTCTAGCCTGTTGACGTCCACTACTGGACACCTATATTTCCAGCATAACCCGTTTTCCTTGCTCTGCATCCAGCGCCTTCCTTGCACTCACCAGCCTATCTGTACAACTACAATTTATTTTTTACTTGGGGAAATGCATTGCGCATACCCAACGTTTCGCAACATTATTTATTTATTAGGTAGTATTATCTTTGTGACAACAAATTGTCTCCGCGTTTGTTTTCACCAAAGGACATAAGTAATATAATATATAACTATTTCATTTTAAGTAAAAAAAAGCCACCTTCCTTTCAGGATTTAGGTTTAGATGAAAGTACACTTTTTAGTATTAAGTACAGATTTCACGAATATGATGAAATCATCCATATACATTCAATTTACTTAAATTTGCAATATAATGATTGCTCAAAACCTACAAAAAATTTTCAACGTTATCTTCTATTTGTATGAGTAATCCAAAAATAAACCTTAAAGGTTAAATCATCTAGCGTTTCCTTATTTAAGCTTTGAATGGCATAGCGCGACCTTAGATGAGGATTTTGCACCCTTCAAACGACCTTAGGGGATTCTTTGGGTAAGTTTAATGCCGGAACAAAATTTATTTCGTAACGGCGTAACAAGTTTAACAGCTATCCTATTTACTTTAGACTTGACCCTAAAGTAAAGTGAAATTTTAAGAAAGTCCTTTCACGTGAATAAAAATATATACTCTGTTTCACAAAAGCTAAGAACATAACTGTTTTATATAATTTGTATGCAAGACCCTATGAATTTTTGATCTCTTAGTTGTGTGGAAGTTGTAATTTTAAAACTAGTTTCTGTTAAGAGCTGTTTAGCCATTGTTATTGTATGAAAGTAGGGTAAAAATATTGCATTCTTTAGTATTTATATAGCATTTGCTAGTCTGTGGCGAAAGCTGTCTATCTGTCAATTTCACCGTGTGTCATCTATCAGCTGTCAGTGTTTTAACTCCAACAGCTTGGTGGGTTAGTGGGAAATAACCTATAAATAGTCTTATATAGTCTAGTCTTATTATAACGAGTCGTGATGCTAGTGTGTGTAAAATCTATTATATTTTTCTCATAAAAACCAACTGTATAAGTTATGAAGTTACTTACCACCTGTATAAGTGGCCAACTTGACTATGATATATGATGTAGATTAACAGTATTATTTATTTATTTATTTACACTTCGTTACCTTATACAAAAACAAATTAAAACAAGCAGGTTACATAAGTTATTAGGCAATGGCAATTATTATTTAGTTATTTATTTACACTTCGTTACCTTATACAAAAACATATTAAAACAAGCAGGTTACATAAGTTATTAGGCAATGGCAATTATTATTTATTTATTTATTTACACTTCGTTACCTTATACAAAAATATATTAAAACAAGCAGGTTTCATAAGTTATTAGGCAATGGCAATTATTATTTATTTATTTATTTACACTTCGTTACCTTATACAAAAACATATTAAAACAAGCAGGTTACATAAGTTATTAGGCAATGGCAATTATTATTTATTTATTTATTTACACTTCGTTACCTTATACAAAAACATATTAAAACAAGCAGGTTACATAAGTTATTAGGCAATGGCAATTATTATTTATTTACACTTCGTTACCTTATACAAAAACATATTAAAACAAGCAGGTTACATAAGTTATTAGGCAATGGCAATTATTATTTAGTTTAAATGATAGAACTAATCAGTCTCTTCTCATTACATATCTCTCTTTTTTAAAGAGACAAAAGCGTACTTTAGTTAAAAGATTACACTGACAACTGATTTTTTCAAATTTCGAAACTAAAACAAAGAAGGTACTTTTTGAAAAGCACGGCATCCAGAATTAAAGTAGCCATAGTACTTACGTAAGAAGATGGCACTATAAGAATAAGAACACTAATTTAGTTTTTATGAAGAATCGGGCTTTATAAAAGTAATTGTACGTATGTCTTGAAGGAATTTAAATCGTTTTAAAAATGCTAAGAATAACTGACGGCTAAGAACCCTTTTGTCACAATTATGTAAGTACCTCAGTTAAGAGCAAAAAATTGCGGCTTACAATGGAATTTTTAGAGCTTGGAACGAAAAGATTTAATTCTACTTTACATTCCAAACAATATAAATTGAATATTTTGGCACTTTACTTTTATGTTATAGCACACAATGAAGGCTATTATGATTTAGTATTGATAAAGGTCCAAATCCAAAAAAGGTTTAGAGAATTATTATATATATCTTCAAAGAGTTGTGCTCTTGTATCGTGTATTATTTTTATTTTATAAATTTATTAAGTATAATGATATATATTTGTACAGCAATATAACTCGTTATTACTTTATATATGTTCACTTTTAATGATTTTTTTTTAAATCTTAGTTGACGTTTCCGGTTCTTGATTGAAGAGAAGACGTCTGTGGAGGAAGGATGTTTTGCACTTCCTCCGACGTAAAGGAAGGATACTTGACCTGTCTAATCACTGTCTGGCCGGCCTTAGTATTAGCCGTCGAAGTAACGCTAAGGACTCACGAGGCGGTTTTCACCCGCGCCCGACGTTGCTTGCTGGCCTGCAGCCTTTGTAGAATACAGATATTTATGTAAAAAACGCAGTGGAATTCGAAAATAATTAAGGAACTTTTCTTCATCCTTCTTTAACT